TTTAATTAATAGGCTGAAACATGGAAAATATTTAAGCTAATTAAATACTCTCATTATTAAGACAAAAAGACACGAGAAGCATAGTACCTATAGTAAAGAATACAAAAAAAACTCATTATGGAAAAATACAAGAATATAATAAATAGATAAAACTTGCAGATCTAGTATTACATCGACAATATGCTCGTGAATGGTTACAATATAATTCTAAAATATCAAGAGAGGTTCATTTTAAAGAGCATAGTATACGATAGTCTGAGTTGCTTTGTCTTCTATATATGGATCCTATATGATTTGCAATAGTAGATCTGATGCATTGTCTTTTTCTTGGTGTTGCAAAATGGATAATTAAATCTATATTTGTAAAACAGGGAAAATTAACAATGGAACAGCTTCATGTAGTACAAAATAGAATAGATAATGTTGTTTTACCTCCTGATATTGGCCGAATTCTTCCTAAAATAGCAATTGAAGAAGATGGCTTTTCTAAACTAACTGCTGACCAATAAAAGACCTTCATTATGATTTATGCTACTACTATCTTGTAGAATATGTTAAATGTTAGTGACAGAAAAATTTTAGAACATTTCGTTAGAGCTTGTAATCTTTTAGTATCAAGAATTGTTAATGAAAACAAACTTAAAAAAGCATACGAAAGGTTAAAAGATATGGTTTGTATTATAGAAAATACTTATGGTTCTGAATTTATTACAAGCAATATCTATCTTGCTCTTTATATTTCTGATTGCTGTCAGGATTATGGTTCTATAAATAATTTTTAGCTTTTTCTATTTGAAAGGCTTAATGGATATATAGGTAAGATGATTTTTAGATATCTAAAATATTAGTATTTTAATCTGAAATCTGACCATCTGAATTGATCCTTAAATCTAGATAAATTCAGATATTCAGATTAGAGATTTTTATTCAGATTGGTCAAGAAGCTTAAATAATGAACCTAAGAGTGCACACAAAAGCTGGCTTTATATATAATTTAATGCAGATTCAATCTGGATTTAATAGAATCCAGATTGCCTGTCAAAAATAGGATTGAAATACTATAAAATATAAAATTTTTTTAAATTTTTTTGATTTTTAGGATCATATCCTAATAGTAACAGACAAATAGAGTCCAAACTGATGAAGATTGTTCTCAAAAATGCATTGGTAGACTATTATTTAACATAAAATTAGACATTTGGTCTTTTGAATAATACTCTTCATTTACTTAAGCCAAAAAAAGCTGTAGGTAGTTTAGCATTAACTAGCACAATGGATAATAAAGAGTTGAAATATTTTTTATCTCTAAGGTATCAGACATCTGTGGCCCTTAAGATATATGGTACTGAACCTATACCTGGTCGTATGCTTTCTCCCTCATATATTGGAGTCATTATGCTTCTAGAATTAAAAAAGTCTTTGTACGAATGGTATAAAATATTATATGAAAGTAAATATAAAAATATAGAAAGATTCATGGACCTGGTAATAAATCAATATACAAAACTTCAAATTGGAGATGAAATATTTGGGTCTATGATATTGGGCCATAAAAATAACTCAATTATACTTGCAAAATGGCAAGCCAAAGGAGATAAAACAAGTGACATATACCCTGGCGAAGTACAATATTACTTTGAGCACACTCTTAGGCTTCCAAAAGGACCAAAACCACATCTTCTAGCATATATCAGATAGTACAAGTGTGTGCCTTCCTCTGCAATTCGGTTCAAACACAGCTTCATGAATTCTGAAGTATCAAATACTGAAATATGGAAAACTGAACACTATAAAGAAGATTATGATTCAATATTACTCATAGATAGAATACTTTGTAAAGCTATAAAAATTAAATATCGTGTAGGAAATTCAGAAAATTATATATCTATTGTGCCGTTAAATAGAAGATTCAACTTTAGCTAAATAAAGATTTTATAATCTATACTGGCTAATAACCCATGGTTTTCTCATGGAAAATTTTTAAATAAGGCCAGAAATCCAAAATTTTTATTTTGTTAATATAATCAATAGAAATTCTTCACGCATATTATGTAACCAATGCAAAGTTGAGTCATTGCACAAATACAATAAGTTCTTACGAATTAGTAACAGTTTATAATTTTACTCTAATATTTTTTGTTTTATCTATCGTAATGTGAATACCGCCTAATTGAAAGCATATTAACATACACTCGACTATAATAAACGATAATAAAATCATATTTTGTCATGCTTGACTTGATTTTACTTAAAAAAGAAACTTAATCCTCCTACGTAGCATAACCGCCAAAATCATCAATAAACCAATTAAAAAACGACATATAGTATGGGCCTTTGTAGTAGAAAGAATCCAAAAAATATAATTTTGAGATCAAGTTTATTTATGTATTTAATAATTTCGATAATCTTGATGTACAAGTCTCACCGAAATTTACTCGAATTATACAAAATCTTATTGATTTTCAGAGGCAGTTTGGGCCTTGTCTATTGATTCTCTTAATAAGATTTATTGTACTGTAAAATTTTAAATTGATTTGCTTTGGAAGTTGCGACTAACAAATTTTGACCAGTTTTGGTAATACCCGTAAATTATATCAACTATAGTTTTAGGTAGTGTTATAACAGGGGAGAGACTTTATAACTATACTGCCAATTCAACTCTGGTCGTAGCATTAAAAGTAAGAAACCAATTATTTATTACGTACAAGACACTAAAAGTACAAAAAAATATAAACGATACAAGTAAGTATCTTCTTAACAAGTGTACCCGGTACACAAATAATCCTCTAAAATATCCTCTATTTCAATTAAACCAAAGAAGTACTTTCTAAACTGCCATTTCTATTTACAATATCTCTATTTATATACATATGATTAGACTCAAATTAACTATATACTACTTAGTATAACATTATAATAATATGAAAGCCTGATTAAAGTATCCTATAACTATACTAAACTATAAACTTATTTACAAATATCATGTTATTTTTCGTCACAATAGTTTTAAAAACTTGTATCGGTATTTCTGTATTGTCAATTTATCGATATATACCTACATGTCTCATAGAGTTGATATCATTAGCCAAAGCCGAAGCTGTTACAAATAATCATGTAACAGCATATTACAAATAGGTTTATTTATTAAATAATATGTGATGCTACGATGGTTTGTGCTATTTAACCTGTCTCTTTCTGGCTAATTCTCAATAGTAATTGGAATATATTATTTTTAGCAATTTCTACTAATATAATTGCATAATCGTGGTTTTATAAGCATATGAATTTGAATAAGAATTAGTATTAATGAATGATTTTTATTGTCAAATAATAGTTGGTTTTCAGAATTTTATAGCATTTATTTTTATTTTATTCAGAGAATTTTTTTAAACATAGAAGATAAAGTAATAATAATCATTGGAGATGAATAAATAAATTTCCTAATTATCATCGTTATTAAATTTTAATGCCTATTTTTATCGAATAAGGTTGTTTTTTGTGATTATTTTATGGGTAAGGACAACAACTTATACTAATATTTTGACACTGATAATTTGTTTGTCTGCTTTCTATATTTTGTGATTTTGATGGTAAGTGCATCTATTATTTTGAAAGTAGGTGGTAAGTAATTTATTGCGGTTTGTAGAATTTTGTGAAATTAAAGGAAAAAAAATTGCTCAGTTATTAGATAATTATTCCGATATGATAATTTCATATTCAGATATCAGAGTAATTTAGTGAATGATATTTATTTTTTACAAAATTTTTGCAAATCACTATACTGTAATAATGAGTAGTTGGTGGTTTGCAACGATAGATGATGTAGTAGTGATTTCAGTAATTGTGCTAAATTTGGTAGTAAGTATATTAATTAATTTCAACAGTGAGTTAATTGATCTTAACAGTAGTTGTATTAGTGATTTCAAGAGAACGTATGATTAACCATAATCATTTAATCGCTCAATAAATTACCAGGGTGAGTATGAAGCTTAATTCGGTTTGCTTTAATGTTTGTATTTCAAGAGAACGTATGATTAACCGTAATCATTTAATCGTTCAATAAATTACCAGCGTGAAATTTAATTCTGTTCACTTTAACGATTGTATTTCAAGAGAACGTATAATTAACCATAATCACTTAATCGTCATGGAGTAATAATTTGAAATGCATACACACCTTGCATTTATAGCATACAATCTAACTATCTTAAGAAAATCCTGAAATCTGCACCCAAGTTTAGCTCATAGTGGGTCAAATATCTGGAGATGTTTATATATAGCGGTTTATGGTAATAAAAAGTCAAACAGAATCTACATATGTATCATTATGATTATTTGTGCTCACTAAAAAACCAAATTTTTATGAAACGTTGCTACTAAAAAAAATGTACTGGCTAGTTTTAATATAAAACATCAGAAGAAATAATATGTTAATACTGTATTTATCGGGTACCCGATATATATCGAATTAAAAAAAATTTAAGTATCCCATAGCTTAATGGATAAGCTCCCGTCCCCCACAGACAAGGTCGACGGTTCGAGTTTGGCTGGAGGTAAAATACTCTGTAACCTAAAAAGGAGCCTATTATCGCATGCGAAGCCCTGTGGAAGTCCAAGTGAAGGTACATCTTTGGTTTAAGGAATTCCCGGAAGGAAACCGGTACGGCAGAGCGTAGGCACTACTATAGTGAGAAATGTGGAGAATGTCGTCAACGTTTGTGGAAAGGATTGGCCTTACCTAATATGTGAGCAAAAATTAAATTTCAATATGCGTTACCCTCATTATATAAACAGCATTAAAGGAATATTATAAAGAAACTTTTTTCGTTATCTTGATGGGTCCATCGTTCCTTTTTTTGTTATGCGTATCATGCGCATTAATACGAATTCATAAGCATGACTCTGAAAAGTGTGCATTTTCCTATCTCTATATGGACGAAATGCCTATAAGTCGTATTAGCACAATATGTAATAAGTTTACCTTTATTATAGTGGCTCTGCCACGATTCAGAATTTGGGTTTAGATACCGTTGAAATGTAGGAATTGGTGACGATGAAGATGTAGGAATTGGTGACGATGAAGAATTTAGCATGAATTGTTCATATCTATTACAAAGATGATTGATATATTATTATTTTATAAAGAACGATAAAAATTTATAAATTATAATAAACATACTGTTTGAATATTTTCTCATTTGCAAATCTTTTTATATTTTGTTCACTTAATATTTCGTTGCATCCGGGCGCCGGGCACGAAATTTTGAAATTTCTATTATTTTCAATTTCGTGCTTTATATATTTTTCTACGCATTCACAACATATATTATTACCGTGACTACACTTGTTTGTAATCTTCCAAAAGGCTTTTGTCTCAATGTCTTCCGTGCATATAGTACATTCCTTGTTTAATTCTTCTTGTATTGTGGATCTAAGTTTTTCTTCATACTGTCTACATTTTTCACATTCATTAGCAATATCATGGAAAATAATTTCTTTAGGAATACCCTCATTGTATATATATTCATAACCATAATTAGACCCAAAGCTAGAATTTGCAATATTACATTGTGCACGGAATTTCAGGTGTAAAGGTACGTTAGACATTTTGACGGTTGAAAATTCAAAATAATATAAGACTTGTTCATTAGAGAGGGTTTGTAATCGTTTAGCAGTTATTACACTATTATCGGTAATCCAAGGTTTAGTAGTGTATTCTACTGTCACTATTGTCTCTTCGTTAGAAGTTTGTACTATGGCTTGCCCATAAAAATCTACCAAACCTTCTCTTTCACCCACAACTTTTATAGATTTTATAATTATGGACATTTTAGAAAAATTATAACTTATTCGAATTTATGTTAATATGTGTAAGATTCTTTCAAGTATGTGTATGAATTCGCAGATAAGACCCAATGTACGTACCAATTTAAAAATCAATAAGGTCTGCTTCTACGATATTTATATAAAAAAAAAAAAAAAAAAAAAATCTCAAGCGGACGTTAATTAGCCAAAAATTATCTTTATTTAGCATTATTCAGCCGTCTTATCCAAATTGGAATAAATTATGCCAAGTATTTCACAACTGGACTCATATGTCCTATGATCAGATATGCACATATTGTGCAAGTACATACGTACTGTAAATAAAGCACAATTTTTTTTAATTGTATTTAAATCTGATCAAGATTGATTATTTAAAGACACACATAGTGCAAGAGCCTAGAAACTATGAGAGTTAACGTTAATGTAAATGTGTAAAGAAGTGCGTGCGCAATCAATTCACCGACGGTCAATTCAATCGTCATTAACTAAATTTAGTATATTCCCTGATCCGAAAGAATTTGCTTAAAAGGAAATTAATTATAAAAAGAACGTTGTACATACGTGCGTACGTACGTGAAGAAAGCGAAAATACTCTGAGATCTGGATAATACAGATACTATAATATAATACCACACTTTATATTAACTCTAGCTAAACCCTAATAATTGATCCGACTAACTAGGGTCAATTAAAGCTCTAGATGTCGTCACAGGTCTCTTAGTACAGAATCACGGGATTTGGCCACTAATTCCTGCTGTTATTATAGATTTTACTTATGGTGGAAATTAGTAGAGCCGAACATTTTACAATTTTGAACTCCGAGTTCTACTTTATTGGCCAGAAGGCATCGTATTTATAGTTTGTGCCATAAGTGCTACGTATAGGTTGAGCTTATACCAGGAACGGAGTGATATGTAAATATCATGAAGTATATGGCATTTTAATGATGTATGTTCACAAAATCTTATAGCTGATTTGATGATACGTCAAATGGAGAAAACCGTGAAAAATTGTGCTTAAACTTCACTTGCGTCGTTTGTATGTTTAGGATTATCGTTTTTAGATGCGTGATTTCTAAATTTGCATATTGTACAGGTTTTATCTTGTTTTTTTATTGTGCTTTTAGTTCATTCTATTATATTTTGAACAGGGGTTTATTTTTATACTGTTTCATTACGATGTACGGGATAGAGTGGACTGAAAAATGCGAATGTGCAAATATGTGCATATTTGGTTAAGTTTTATGTATACATATGGGCACATAT